AGCGTCTCTGCTGTAGGCATCCCGGATTCAGCTGCTGCTGAAACTGACCATCAGCGGCTGAATCGGGGACTCCTGGGGCAGAGCCGGACTATCGGAAGGGAGGGCTATGAGGGGGTCTGGGGTAGCATCCCTCCACCCCACCCAAGACCCCTCATAGCCCCCCCTTCTGATAGTCTGGCATATCTGATAATCCGGCACTCCCTGGGTCCTAAAGGTGCCGGATTATCGGAAGTTTACTGTAGTTCTGTTGTCTCAGTAATATACCACATTGTAAGACTTGTGTCATTCTGACAGTATTTTAGTATTGCTTTCTATAAATCAGCAAGAGTGAAAACAATTCTTTATATTTAAGAAAATGAAGGATAGATGACTAGAAATTAGAACAGTAAAAATAAAAACTAGTTATATACTTAAGAGAAAATACAGGAAGAATGGGAAATCCAACTTTATGTGCTTTATGGTCAGGTTTCTCCTTCCATTTACCTGTTGCAGCAGAAGTGGGGGTGAGAAGTTACTGTATCATAAATTTGGAGGATATATTTAAAATATGAAATTCAAACACAAGTCTTCAAATTATTAATACTTGATTCTAGAAGTTATTGATCATGAATATAGCAGATATTTAGTAGGACTTGCTTCTGGCTTGACCTGCTTTTAAGGCACGTGTTAATTAGAAGTACCAGAAGATGGAGATGAACTGTATGTTGTTGGTATCTCACTTGAGAAAAGTAGACAAAAGAATGAACAATCCTATGGATCTAATTCCTGTTTGTAATGTGATACTTGGCATCACTGAGCTAGAACTTAGTGGAGAGTTAAGGTGTTTTTTATTTACAAAGTTGAATTCTAAAATAATTCAGTTAAAAAAGCAGCCTGTATTGCAAGGGAAAGTAAAGGATATGTCCCTAAGAACAAAGTTGGTTTGAGAGGTGCACTAGCATACCTAAGAGATAAATGGATTACTGTCTAGTCCTCTTCCACATACTCCCTTGACTCTCCCTTTATCAGGGAAAGTGTTTTTTCGTCTAATTTACAGAACTTCTTTTTCTGAATCCTGGTATCAACCAAATGTACCTTTTTAAAGGAACCTGTCAATCTGTACTTAAAAATAACTTGTTTCCCAAATATTTAAGTATTCATATTTCTTCTTCCTCTGCACATAGTGTCAGACACAATTTAGGGGTTCTAATTTTCATTGTCCCACAGTACCATTCTCAACAACTTTCTATTCTTGGTTTTGTACTGTCCTTTTCACATTTGTTCTTAGTTATGTGGTTGAGGCAGCCTCATTGTGATATTCCGCTTGCTATGGATGATGTACAGCTTCTTAGTTTCTCTCTTCGTCCCCATCATTCTCAGCTGCATTTGCAGGACAGACTACAGCCTCACTGGGTTGCTTCAAGGAAATAATACTTCAGTTACATCAGTTCTTTCCTTGTAGATCTTAGAAATGCTTTGCAAAGGCAGGCATGTTTCATTTCCCACCTGTAAAAACAAGGAAATTAGGGATACAGAAATTAAATGAAGTAATGAAGAATCTAGTTTTAACACAGTCCTCTGCTCTTTCTACTGGACCATATTTCTTTGAGACTTTTAAACAAGTTTAAATTCAGTTTGTGAGAGGAGCTGTGTTGATCTCTTCAGGCTATTCTTTATATCCATGCTGCCAATGTTTGTGTTTTGGATTAATATTCTGAGTATTTTTTCCAGTAGACTTAGGGTGCAATAATGATTCTCTTGGAGACTGAAGTCTTCTCCCTGTCTTCAGAGCAGGTGGGTAGAGCACTGGGAGAGTCTGTGCAAGCTTTCCAACACTATTCCATCAGTGTCTCAACCCTGTTTTGGAAAGAGCACACATCTAGTGAGAAGGGTAGTTTAGAATCTTTGACATCTTAGTCCTGGGCCTCTTTCCAGAGATAGCAAGGATGCCAAGTGTGGTGATGGTTTTCTGTGATTTGGACACTTTTCTATTAGAAACATGGTGAAGACCAGGCTCTCCTCACATAGGTGACCAGACAGCTTTCCATTGGTATTGACTTTGTCACTAACCAAAATGATCTAGGCTCAAGTAGATAACCTAATGGTGAGAAGTTTTATATCTCAATAATCCTCTTAGCAGTTCTTCCTAGGTTACTGATTTTTCTTTTTTGTTAGCAATTGCTACTGCTGTAGGTTGAGATGTCAGGCAGGTTTGGATATACTCCAGCAGCTTCAAATATTGCATCAAGGACACACACAAAATTATTAATATGGATCAGGATTGTTTCCATCTGGTCATTTGAAGATCCAAAGTGTAAAGGAAGCTTGCTTGTACTTCTCAAAGACAAATACAGTAAAGGGAGATATTGAAGATAGAGTTAACTACAGGTTGGACCTTCCTGTCCGGCACCCTCAGGCCCTGACCCATCCCAAAGGAGGGAATTTTCCGGAACAGGGAAGAACCCTGCCACTGGCCTCTCAGGACACTCCCCTGTCCCTGCAGCTGGCTCTGCTCTGACCCACCTGCCACTGGGCTCCAGCCTGCAGGACTTGGACTTGTTCTTGGGATCTGACCCTTGGGGGCTCCTTGGGGACAGGGCTTCCCAAGGACAGAGCTCCCCAGCTGTAGCAGTCCCACTTCTCCCCCGCCCAACTGAGGATCCCTGGGGATGGGGCTTGCCAGCTGCTTGGCTTTTGCTGTTCTCTGCTGGGGATCGTTGGGGATGGGACTTACCGGCTTCCCCACTTTTGCCACTGGTTACCTTGCTGCTTCTCTGCCTGGCTGGGGCTTCCCGGTGATGGGGCTCGCTGGTCCTGCTGCTGCCTCACCCAGCCAGGGCTACTGGGGACTGGGCTTGCTGGTCCCACTGCTGTCCCACCCAGCTGGGTTCCCTTGGGTCGGGGCTCGCACTACCAGGCACTGGGACTTTCTGATCCAACCACGTCCATGGTCCTATTGGACCATGGATGTTGCCGGACCAGAGTGTCCCAGATTTCGGAGGTTCAGCGTGTACTATGTGGCCTCCTTCAGTATGAGAAGTGCTACCATTGCTCCAAAGAAATGGTCTATTCATTGAAGATGTGTATTGTAACTAAGCATTTAGTTCTATATTTTATGTTGGTTTGACAGGGCAGTGCCATAATCTGAAGTTTTAAGTGCAAGTATTAGCTAGAATATATTTGTACAGACAACTACTTTTTGCACAGCAAGACTAAATCATACTCTTTAGAAACACTCTGAAAAATCCTGGCCCCATTGAGGTAAATGGCAGAACTGCCACTGACTTAAATTGAGCTAGGATTTCATCCACAGACTATATTTGAGCTTATTCATCAAACCAACTGTAAGTACCTTTCTCATTTCTGTTAAAATAAAATTACTTCAGTTATTTCTAAGGCACGTATTAAGGAGGTCTTTCGGCACCTGCTATGGACAAGCATGTAGAATCTTTATTATTTAAGAGGAGAGGTTTAGGTTTGACTGACTTGCTCGATTCCTTCTACAGCATTCTGTCTGGAAAACTCAGGAATGTGCAGAATAGGAAACTAAATTTTAGCACAGCTGTATTAAAGACGTGTATAGTAAGTAGCAAGCCTCTAAGAAAATTAAGTGAATGTTTTTTTCCCTTCTATTTGATTGCAGAGCTCTGAGCAAAGACAAAAGCAACAGGAAGAGGGTGATTGGCACAGCCTAGGAAGAGAATTTTGTCTGTGGTTCTTTGAACTTCTGAACTCTCAGCATCCTTTGGGAAGACAATCTGATGAACAATGGGGACCACAGCATTTCTGGGAGGATGTCAAACTGAAATTTTGTTACAATACGTTGGAAAAAAACATGGAAGAATATGTTGGTGCAGAATTGGTGAGCCTCCGTTTACTCTCATTGGTGAAAGAAGAGTGTCTCTTATTGAACCCCAACTTGGGTGCTGGTGGACTAAAGTGTGTAATTTCTCCACATGGGTTAGTAGTGGTGGCAGTAGCTGGCACAGTACACAGAGGCAACATTTGCTTGGGCATCTTTGAACAAATCTTTGGACTCATCCGCTGTCCAGTTAGAGAGAATACCTGGAAAATAAAATTAGTGAATCTTAAAATAGTTGGAGAAAATGCTCTGGAGCCTGGGACACAAGTGCAAAAGCCTTCCATAAAATATGAGTCGAATGAACTGAGAGAGCTATATGATGGGAAAGAACTGAGCTTAATTGAACCTCAAATTCTGAGCAATGTGTTTACAGAATTGGGGGAATAACAGCTGTTTGAAAACCAATACAGCACTTCTAGTGCATACTTGAATAACTTCAGACTTGTGGTGATGTTTATTTCTTGAGTCAAGTTTGCTAAATTGACCGCGAGCCAAAATACTGAGTGAAATTCACTTAAAGACCGACTGCTTTTGGGTATCCGTCTTCCATACTAACACTGAATGTATGGAGTGAACTTTCTTGCCTCTTTGTCATTAAATTGATTTCTTCACTAAAAAATAGAGAACGTAATAAAAGAGGTGCGGCTGCCAGTGTTCTGAATTAATAGTTAATTTTCCAGTGCTGTCACTTACTTTTCATTTTCAAGTAGCATTTCCCTCACCTCTGCAGTGTAAAACTACAACACCCACTTCCCAAAATTAGATGGTTGCCATTGCTTCCATTTCTTGCACCGACTCTCCGGAACGAGGGTGGGATGTGTGTGTATCAAGGAATTTAGTCAATCAGTATAAACATCACATTAAGCAAATGCTTTGATAGGTAATAGTGTACAATTTACAGGAGTGTTTAATGTAATAGTTTACATGTGGTAATTCCTGTCCTCTCAAAATCAAGAATTGTATCCAGTTAGTGCAGAAGTGTTAAACTGGATATGTCAGGTTTTTTCCAGATAAGCTCTCTTCCACTCCCACAAGCCATTCAGCGGTTAAAGGGAATGTGGGTAACTTTAATAACTATGCTTCTCTGTTAATGTGTTCAAAAGTAACACAAAAGACCACATAAAATCTTCTCTGTTTACTTGCCTTCAGTATTTGATAGTTGTTTATCTACTCAGTTTTCATTATTTTTCTAATTTCCTATTTGGTTGGTCTTTCAAACAACATGGGACAGAAACTCGCACTTTAAAGAAATGCTTAAATGTGATTAAAACTAAAAATTAGCAGGGAGACATGAGATAGATATGGTGCCCAAAAAGAACTCTCAAGCTCACTTTTGTGAGCTAACTAATTTCTAGTTTTCCTTTCACCGTTTGTTTAAAAAGAATGTGATTATATGAGTAAAGGACAGTGTTTGAAATGTTTCCTAGTAAACTGTTGAGATACTGATGACTTTCTAAGCAAGCTACTTTTCCTTAAATTCCTGTAAAATGGTTTCCTTTCCTTTTGTGTGTTATCTGCTAGTTTGAAGTATGTGGGTGACATGCATATCTATCAAAGGTAGGGGAAGACTCTACATGATTATGATTTTGGCTTTTGGAGTGAAAAGAAGGAAATAACCATGAAAACCAAAGACTCAACAGTGCCTTTTTCAACTTATGTAGAACCGCTACCTCTCTGAATATTAACTAAAGCAAGCTTCTTGTGCCGTATACTTCTATAGGAAATATGTGTTCACCTTCGCTTCTTGGTAAAATACATTGAATTTCTAAATATGTATTAATGAATATGAATATGACTTTATTAACATTACATTCAAAATGCAACGGGTTCTCCTTGATAAATTAAAATTATGCCAAAATGTATGCTTTATCAACTGACTTTACTCACATTTACAGACAATGCACAAATTACTTCAGATGAGAGGGATACGGCACTATGGGCTGTCTTTATTTGTTTCATGTTTAATAATTAAATTTGTTGAAATGCCCTGTAACAAGAATGTGATTGAAGAGTGTTCTGAACTTAACATTAGAAGTATTTTGTGCTCCTATTCTAGTGTTTGACTTTTCCCAAGAAGAGGGAATGAGGAAAGCAGAGAACAACAGTCCCTAGGTCGAGTATGTTGCGTTTTCTCTTCGTAGGTCTGTCTGCTGTTAGTTTCAGCTTTGCTAGACGTCTTTTTGCAGACCTTGTGGAAAGACAATTGACGTGAATGTGGAGATACAAGTAGGTTGTCTCAAATGGCTCATGACCATGGGGTAAAAACGAAGCACAAACAGTTGGAAACTAAGTCACAAACCGAAAGTGGTTGGTGAAGTCTTATTATAGAAAACAACCAGGTATCAAGTGTGAATTTCAAGCATTCTAACAGCTTTAAGATGGAGTAACAGACAGTCCTCTTTGGCACTCCGGCTCTCTTGCTCTGCACGTAAATCTGCCTTTGATAGATGGTCCCTTACTCCAAGATCACAGTGAGTTACCTCCAGTCTGTAAAGACTAGTCATTTACTGTGGATCTGCTGTACCTTCGATCTTTCACCAGAGATAATGCTTATAGCCAATTCTGTGATTAACTAAAGATGTATAAACTGGGAAAAGAAAATAATAGAAGGATTTCCAAGTTTAAAGCTGGTTAAACTCATCTGATGAAGTGGGTTTTACCCATGAAAGCTCATGACCTAATATATGTGTTAGTCTCTAAATCTACATCTACACGGCACATGAATTTCAAAATAAGCTATTCCAGAATAGTTATTCCGAAATAGCTTATTTCAAAATAGCACATCTACACTGCAGGGAAGCCTCAAAATTAGTCCGAGGCAGGCTTCCTTAATGTAGACATGGAATCTCGAGGAATAACTTAAAATGGCCCTGGTGAGGGGCTATTTTGAAATAGCAGCAGTGGAGCATGTACACGCATCTTATTTTACAATAGCTATTTCAGAATAGGTATTATTCCTCGTAGAATGAGATTTCGGAATAAGCTGCCTGTTATTTTAAAATTATTTTGAAATAATAGAATGGCTGTGTAGACACTCGCATAGTTATTTCAGAATAATGGCTGCTATTCCGAAATAACTTTGCTGTGTAGACATGCCCTAAGGTGCCACAGGACTACTCATTGTTTATATGCAAATGAATTATAGTCATAGGTTTTAAAAGGTAATAGAAGCTGCTGTATTATGTAAGCTCGACCTGTCTTTCAGGGTTATGCCAAGCTAAACAGGTTGGGGATTTCTGCTTCAGGTTAATAATAATGCCCTTTCCAAATTCCAAGCACTACAGTGATACAGCTCCTGCAGATCAGGTAATTGTATTTTCTTCTTCCTTCCGCCCCTGAGAATTCAAACTGATGTGATGAGGGCTTGTGTTCATCCCCTCTTTGTAGGCATGTGGGGGGAAAAAGGAAGCTACACATACAGTCTTTTGACCACTCATGTTCCACAGTGTTTTGTCTGTCAGTAGAGATCTGATCTTTTGGGGCAGAAAATAATACTTTTGGTGGCAAACTTTCACACTTGTAATGTTTTCTTTTTTTTTCGGACTGGAGCTTTCCAGTTCCATGGCAAATACCTAACGTGTTTCCCCATGTTGTAAGGTAATCTTTTATCAGAAAGATTAATCTATGTAGCAACTTTTCATAGAACTCAAATGCAACACACATTCTTATAAAATTAACATTTGTTTTAACAAAACAGGTTTCACTTCCCTGATCCTGCACCCTTGGGTCCTGACCAGTCCTGAACCAGGGAAGGTTCCCTGCCACAGCCCATCAGCATTGCCAGCTCCCCCGTTACTCCCAGCCCTGGCTAGCCTTACTGCCACTGCTCTGGCTGGCCTGCCTTCCGGGCTTTCTGCACTGATGGGCTGCCACAAGCTCAGCTCCAGCCCCACTGCCATGGGTTACTAGGGGCTGTGGCTAGCTCCACTCTCAGTTGCCAAGGGCTCGGTGTCTGGCCCCACAGCAGCCCATGGGCTCTGATTCCATGCTCCTATGGACTATAACGCTGCTGGGGACTGCTGCTGGCCCTGTCCCCACTTTTGCAGGCTGCCAAGAGCTTGACCTATTGTGCAATGGTAGCCTGCAATCTGTAGCCCCACTTCTGTGGGCTGCCTGGGGCTCTGGATCTGGCCCCACACTGCCATGGGCTGTCCGGCCCGGTACTGTGCTGCTGTGTGCTGATCTGGACCCATTGCCACAGGCTGCCAGGGTTTGCTGCTGGCTTCAGTCCCTCTTCATCGGGCTGCTGCCAGCCGCTTCCCCATCCTGCTGCTTCAGCCTGCTTCGCTTCTGGATAGCCCTCCTGCCCCTGGGCTACCAGTTCTTTGATCCATGAATATCCACGGTCCTACCAGAGCAGAGAGTGCCGGTTCTGGGAGGTGCAACCTGTATTAGTGCACAAGTGAATCAGACTGGTTTCTAGCTGTGCATTTGTCAGTGTTCAGTGTGGCATAGGGGCCTTGGTATGAGCTTGCTCCTGGACTGTTGGTGTGTCAGTGCGCTATCTCCAAAGCACTGGTTTTGTAAGTGCACAATTCAGTTAACATTTTTTCCTTTAGCCTTTCAACTAAAGTGAAAGAGTTAGTCATTTTTCCTGATTCTGACATCACATTTCAGTCATACACGCTTCTACCGGGCGCTGTCATTACCATTCACATATGGTAGCATTGGCTATCTCACACTTACAGTGGCCCTTCATATTTCAAATTTACAGCTGTTATTCTGCTCTCTTGAGAGAAAACATCCTGAAAAGAGCTCATTGTCCACTGAGAGGGGAAAATATCAGAATCAGAGCTCTTGGTGGCTCATGCTAAACTAACAGCATTCAAGAGCTGTGTTGTTTGGACGGATGGGAGGAGAGGTGCTTTGCTGTGATTTCAAATTTTTGTTTTGAATAATAAAGCTGAAGCACTAGATAAAATGAACCTTTTCTCCATACCGTACTTGCATGGATTTCATCAAACAAAGAGGATGCTATATATTTTATAACTAGTACAAACTATGGAGTTACAATTGTTTTCTTTTTATCTTGTATGATCAACACTTAGAAAACGTGGCTGGACTTGAACAGATCCCAGAGTTGCAGGACACTGAACAGCACAGACTAGTAACAGCAACATCAGGGGAAATGGATGTGAAGATATAAAATAGAGATCATTCATGTGCCAAGGAAGGTTACTTTCTAATTAAGAGCACATCTGATATTTCAGTTTTTATATAGATAGACTAAAATGCCACCAACCATGAGAAATAGGGTAGGGATCAATGTGCTGCTGTTACAATAGTTCTTATCCTATAGGGAAGGGGGAAATGATTAAATGATGGAATATTTATGCCCACAAAATGCCTGTTGTCTCCTGAAGCTCATCTAAGATTGTAACATTTTGAAATTGTTACTGACCTGGATTTGAAGATAGTTATACTAATTTAATTGGTCTTGAATTAAATTACAGTCTGATCTATAAACGAATTGGCAATGAATTACTGAATATTAGGCTGCTCTATTACCAAAGATTTTTATTCAGTTTTCAGATGTCAGAACTATTAAGCAAGATAGGCCTAACGTAAACTAAAAATAACAGTTGTGCTGTACTCACCATTCCTCCACTCTGAACAGAGATCAAGTAAGCTTGAATAATAGAAACTTCAGCTGTTTACAATATGTATAATGGTAGCGTGGTGACACCTTGTGGCAGTTGCAGTATCGGCTTGTATTTCTGGCTCACTTTAAATCCTCTGTGCTGACATTAAAGAGGAAGCAAGGAAGAGGACAGGATCTGTTTAGGCTTTATCAAAAGAAAAGGATTAGGTCTCCTTGTACGAGCAACAGTCTGCTTTATCTTTTCAGTTTGTCAGAGATCCAAATGTCTGATATTTCTATCCCACTAAGAAAGAATGTCTGGAGGCAAACTGTCTGCTGTTGGTTAAAAAAACGTAACACTGTCTCACTGTTTTGAAAACCTTCCCTTCTCTTCTGGTCAAAGAAGTGAAGTTGTGATAAGCTGGAAACATGGTGTTAGGGTCATGCAGGGAAATGTTATCTGTGACAGCTGCCAAAGACAGTGCTGCCAGGCAACAATTTTTCAACTGACATGGTAACAAATACATTTCTTAAACTCTGATTCCTGGTAGGTTTACAGCGTCAGGACTGAATGTAGAGAACCATGGTGGCAATAGGATAGCTATTGGATTTGTAATGAACAAGTCATGTCAAATGAATCTTTGATAAGAGAACAAGCCTTGTGGATAAGGGGGAAGTGGTGGACGTGGTATCCCTAGACTTTAGTAAGGCATTTGACATGGACTCACATGGCCTTCTTATCAATAAACTAGGGAAATACAACCTAGATGGGGCTACCATAAGTTGGGTGCATAATTGGCTGGATAACTATTCTCAGAGATTTATTAATGGTTCTCAGTCATTCTGGAAGGGCATAACAAGTGGAATTCCATGGGGTCCATTTTGGGACTGATTCATCAACAATTTAGGTGATGGCATCAACAATATGCTTATTAAGTTTGCAGATGATACCAAGCTGGGAAGGGTTGCAACTGCTTTGGAGGATAGGTTCTAGACAAACTAGAGAAATGATCTGAGATAAGTAGGATGGTGTTTAATAAGAACAAATGCAAAGTCTTCCACTTAGGAAGGAACAATCAGTTTCACAAATATAGAATGGTAAGTGACTGTCTAGGAAAGAGTACTGCAGAAAGGAATCTAGGGGTTATGGTGGACCACAAGCTAAAACAGTGTGACACTGTTGCAAAAAAAAAAAAAAAAAAAACAAAAACTATGATTCTGGGCTGCATTATGTGGAGTGCTGTGAGCAAGACCCAGAAGTCATTCTTCTGCTCTACTATCCACTGATTAGGCCTCAGTTGGAGTATTATGTCCAGTTCTGGGCACCATATTTCAAGAAAGATGTGGAGAAATTAGAGAAGGTCCAGAAAAGAGCAAGAGAAATGATTAAAGGTCTAGAAAATATGA